ATCTATTTTATTTTAATCATGATGCATGTACTTGTGTACTTTTTGCGAAAATATTTCTTTTAAATCTGTTTTCAGGTCGAATCTGGAAAATATGATTTTCTTGAAGACAGAAATGGTCAAGTTATTCTTTTCATCACGAGAATGGGAGATGATGATATTGGAACATATACTTGCAAAGCAGAAAATGAACACGGAGAAGCACAAAGAAAAATACAACTCATGATCGCAGGTAAACAAACAATTATATCAATCATACTGACTTTTACTGTCTATAAATAAAGATGGGACATTTTTTTACTGAATTCATCATCACTGTAATCTCTGCAAAAAAGAGGAAGACCCTAATTTATATAAATTAGTTTTTTCCCATTCATTATTTTTGATTGGTTTATACGTAGATTTTAACTGCTCAATAATAAGAGTCTATTATACAGCACCAAACTTAAACGTTATTACTAACTTTTTTCCGCTGCTTACTTTCATGAATTTAACCCCTTAACTTGTGCGCTCGAGTTAATTCGAGAGCTCTAAACAGGAAAAACAGTGTATCAAAATTGTCCACCAAAAGAAAAAACAGTGTTCTAAAGTGTGTTTTTTTTTACATTAAAAAAAATTGAATTTTTTTTTTTTGCCGGTTTCTTTTTCAAAAAATCTGTGCTTTAAGGGGTTAACCAATTCAGCGTTACGAACGGTGTATGACAGGTCACATAAACTAGTGTAAAAGCTCATAGACCGGAGAACTCACTGCTCATAAATAAGACTAAAAACGTTATGAACTGACATGGTCCGATCGCATTCAGCCAACGCTTCGTATAACTGAAAGCCTCCACACGGTTTTTTATAGGTAGTCCGATCAGACCACTGTGTACAAAATCTAGTTAAAATAAGAAAGTGGTAACAAATATATGACTAAATATTTGTTCATACCTGCCAACTTTTAATCCTTTCCATTATCATTTTTCCCAGTGGTATTAAAATGGAATTAAAACTTCAATTTTAAGCAAACAAATACGTTGTATTTGTGAAAACTTAAGTTGACTACCATGATAGTAACGCATAATAATATATGTGCTTAATTTTTGTAAGAATAGTGGTGATCAATATCATCTAAAAACTAAGATTATAAAAGAAAAAATAGTATATAATTACTACCACTTTAAATATTAAATATGAAAATAAAATCTTCCGGAAAATCCGGAAGAGTTGGCAGGTATGTTTGTTTTATTTATGAATATTATTGGTTTGCCTTATTCACTTGTCAACCACTACAGATTCAATTCTCAAATATATATTGACGTGTCAGTGTGGCCGAGTATGCGTAAGTATATTATGCATTTCGAATTATTACACTCTGAAGATAATTTTATGTAGAAAAAAAAAGAATATATATATATATATATTAAATATAACAAAGAATTCAATCGCATTTGTTGACTAAAAATAATACTCTTCAATAGCGATATTAGAAACTAATCATCGGAAATGTTTCAAATACTATTCATGTTCCTCATCGTTGTTTTCACGTAACTTTCACAGTTTAAGTGTCTCTCTTTAGAGAGCTATCGTATGTTAGGTAATAAACAGTACAAATATTACCTAAGCACATTTTATTTTCGTAAGAGAAAGCAAAAGGCTAACACAACCCTCTTTGCTTCCAAAAGTTTTTATTTCAGAATTCAACTGTTTTTGCAATTTATTAGGTGAGAGAAGTATGAACCTTTCTGATCTAATTCCCCTCTTCCGTTATCAACAACAACAAAAAAGCAAATTTTAAAACCCATTAGGTTCTTCCACAATATTTGAATAACTCCTGCTAACATAATATGATATTTTTTAAAAAAAAATTTACTTGATTTTGAAATTGTTCTAGCAGGACAACAGTGTATAAAACTATTTTGAGACAGTTCGTCCCCATTCACATAGTAGAGAGAGTTTATCTTTTTTTAGTAAAATTTTTTTCATATAAATTACCCAACTTAAAACGGTTTCAACGAAGATTCGAAAAGGTACTTTGTTTCTCTTATCCTATCATGGTTATGTATTTTAGATCTCCTTCTCTGAGAGACCAAGACGAGAACTATTTTGAGAGAAATAGTATTAGATTCGATTTTTTTTTCTTAGAATATTTAACACGTTGGGAAATTTAACACCATGGAACCTTAGAATATTTAACACCATGGGGGTCACCGGTGACGGGCAAAGCCAAGATTATTAGAAACACATAATTCCAATAAATAAATTTTTAATTTTTTTTATATTATTATCCTTACTAAAATAATTTGAAGAAATTAATGCAATATAGAACATCCGGAAGAGTTGGCAGGTATGAAATATGTCATCTTCCAATTTAAATTCTCCTGAGATGAAAGAGCAAATATCCTGAATTGGATAGGAGCTCTGTAACATTTTGATTAGTTAGTAAATATGTAATGCTAAACCTTTTAGAAACTAGCAAAATCTGTTAAGTTGTATTCAGGGGCGGATCAAGAAATTTTTCTTCCTGGGGGGGGAGTTCATAGACTCAAATTCCCCCTTATATAATTTTTAAAATATTTTATTTCTTTTGTAAACTATTAAAAAATTATTATTTTTATTTATTTTTTCAATTTTGGGGGGTCATGACAACCTTCCCCCCCCCCCAACGCTGGATCCGCCACTGGTTGTATTAGTTAAAATTATGCTTAAACCAAATTTTGTTAACAAATATTCAAATTTTAAAACATAGTATTTACTACCTCTAGAAAAAGTCTTTGGAAAAAAGACTTTTTCTAAAGTTAAACTGATATGTCTCACAAGGAAAAATTCCGTTTCTACTTTTTCACAAAACTGCCAAACTGTAAGTTATAACACTCCGCAACATTTATAGTGGAATTAAAACTACAATTAGATATGAAAATATGCTTAGAATTTTGCCTGTACCTAAAACGTATCACAGCGTTTACATCGTGTCTTTCTTATATCATAGAATTATTTAAATGTCGTAATATTCAATATCATTTTAATTCAAATGTTGAATCTTAAAATTTGTTATAATTTTATTTTCAAAAAATCACCGGCCTGAAGGAGGAGAAGTTAGGTTTATATTCATATACTATGAGTAAAATAATTTACAAAATGTATTCCATTAGCTGACTTCATTGTTTTAATCATCTTCTAAATTGTATTAATATTTATTTAGAATGCGAAAATGAATATCATCTTCTTACATATCAACGACCACACATTGTAAAACCCAGTGATCGACCGTTTGAAGATTTCTATGATATCGGAGACGAACTTGGACGGTATGCCTCTCTTTGTTGTTTTAATCACTATTGTAAACTGTATTAAAATTGCACTAAAGTGCTATTGTACTGACTGTATCAACTACTGAAATGAAAAATATTTATACACTTCCGTAAATTCTTATATTTTCTGATGGCATTTAACTCCCAAATCGAAATCCATTTTCTTAGTTCTCTGCGCGCAAACAAAAAGGATCTTTAACACGAGCCTAGGTTGATAAAAATATTTCTGAAATCTAAAATATTAATTGAAACATTTGAATTAAATTTATTTAAACTTTTAATGGGCCTTTTATTTCTAGTAAAGGTAAATTAAAGTATTTTTGGAATTGAAATTCTTTTAAGAACAGTAATTGATATAAAAAAGAAACTCATTTAGTTTATAAAAATGCCATTTTTTTGGTGGTAAATATATTTAACATGACCTATTAGGAACTTACTGACTTTTATTTTTCTTTATTTATAAAATAAATTCCTTAAATGCTACAAACTTCAAAAGGAATTGTGAATTTTATAACTTTTACACGTTCTTTAAAAGTGACAAATGGTTACCAATTTTATTCAAACTCACTTCAAGAAAGCTGAAATTATTGAAAAGTGGAAACCTAAATTAAAAGTGGTAAAACGTGGTGGTAAGTATACTTACCACGGCCTTTAAAAGGGTTAAACTTTTAAAATAAACAGTTTTTAACTATTTCTTAACGTTAAATACTACCAATCTTGTGTTAGCTCTATAAATAAAACACCATGCCAAATTTCAGATCAATTGAACATAATATCAAAATTAAGCAATTGATTTTTTTTTAATATTTCATACATAAGATATATAAAATATTTTTCAAAACCTTAAGCCTTCTTTTTATTTCATTTTTGCTTATCACAAAGAAGATACGGGATCTTCAAAATAAAAATTTTAGAAAATGTTTCCTTTTAAAATTAAAGTTTACAAATCTGTTAAATTTATTTCTAAATATCTAGCTTTGTTGTAAAGTGATTTCTTTCAATAATTCTGACAAGATTGACAAAATAAAATACAAAAATTGTGTTTCTCGTCTCAAATACCAATCGAAAAGATGGAAGCATAATATGAATCTAAATAGATAGATAAGTAAAATATGATAATTCATTAAATTTACTTAGAATTTCTTAAAGATTTAAATTTTTTTTCAAATTTAGGGGAACTCAAGGAATAACCTATCACGTTGTCGAACGTAAGAGTGGAAAAAGTTTGGCTGCTAAAGTAATGCACGGAACAGGAAAACTGATGGACTTCATGACGGCTGAAATGGACATTATGAGCCAGCTAAACCATCCAAGATTGGTCCGACTATGGAACGCTCACGAAACGAAGTCCTCCTTAACTTTGGCCCTTGACATGTATCCTTTCTCTTAATTTTATCCATTCTCATTCGCAATGGAGTCCAAAAATCCTTGTTTGGTGTTTAATTACTATTTTGTTTGATTTAGTAATATTACTGATTGACCATCACGAGAAAAACTCTCGCAAGGAGCTTACACGTGGGTAAAGAACAACTGGCAGCATAACAATATCATTTCTAACTTGTGATCCGTGACTACCCGAATCCGTGAAATTATCCGTAACTACCCCAACTTACAAATCTTTACAAAAATATACACAGGCACTATGTATATTTTCTTACCTGGAAAATTCAATAGAGGTGAATAGATTATAATTATTGAAAGTAAAAAACCTTATAGTGAAGCACTAAATTTTGAATCTTGATGGCAACTTGTAGTTCACATAGCTTCAGATCGAAGGGTACCAGATTTTCTATGAAGTAATTATGGCCGGTGCACAATGCTGGCCACATTTCCATCAACATGCCGTTTGTCACGAAACTGTGGATCTGTAACCTTCATAACCACTCTGGTTCTCACACAGGCTGTTGCGGTGAGGCTTATTTTAAAGCCTTATAATTTTAGCCTAAAAAATTCATAGCTGTAATAGATTTCACTTGAAAATATATATAATTTTAATAAATCATAGCAGTTATTTGTATTTTACTTTTCCTGAAAACAAACTGAAAAATAAACTTTTAGTTCAGTTTATTTTTCTTTACCTCCAGTAAATGCTCCCACTGGGAGTTTTTCTCGTGATGGTAAGTCAATACCTAATTTTAATATTTCACTCACAATTTTCTGCAAAGTTAGATATCTTAATAATGGCGTTTAGATGTGGTGGTGGTGAACTTTTACCAAGTATTATCCATCACGGGAATCTTACAGAGAGTATTGTGGCTCATTACATCAAACAAATACTCGAAGGACTAAAACACATGCATGAGAAAGACATTGCTCACTTAGGATTAAATGTAAGTAAGAACAGAACTTTTAAAATAGGTCACTGATAGACCAAACTTTTAATATTGTTAATCCTTAACATAACTAGTTTTTATTCCAGTTTTTTAATAAATTCTATTTCAAATTTTTAAATATTATTATGCAATAGGAATTTTCCAATGATATTGTTGTTTTTCATTTAAATCAAAGTAAATACGCGCAGTGTCATTTTTTATTTATTTAGGCACGCTATTATTATTATAAAATTTTTTCGTTACAATACTCTAAGTTTGAAACCACTTATAAGAATATAAAAATTAATTTAAAATGTAGAACCATTTTTCCCCTTTAAATGAGCTCCACTTTTTAGCGACATTATATAAATAATGTAAAATGTAAGTTCAACTCTTTACTAAATACCAGTGGACGCACTGTCCTATGAAAATTAATTTAATTTTCATAGGATTCACTATATCATTTAAAATACATGATTCAGTAATTCTACATAATTTTTAAATAAGTTGATTACTAATTATAAAAGCATAAAAATCTTAAATTTTAGAGTGGTGACTGCTGATGTCGCAGAGGCAATATCGAAGTGCAAAGGGTTAACTAAATAAGTTATAATTTAATTTAATTAAACTAAATAAGTTAACTAAATAAGTTATAGTTTAATTTAATTAAGCTATACTTTATTTAGTTACTAATTATAAGAGTATAAAAAATCTTAAATTTTAGAGTGGTGAGTCACCACTCTAAAATTAAAAACACAAATCAAATGGCGGGCCGACACTTTATCTTAATTTTATGAAGGACTCCTTTATGTTTGAAGGAACATTAAATATTAATGGCAAATTTTTACCAAGTTGAACAAAACAAAAGTATTGAATTGCAAATTA